TGGGCAATACAATGTTTTATCTGGGGAAAGGAGGGAAGAGAACCGTGGGGAAAAAGAGGAGACAAACTGAGTAAATTCCAGGAAGGTCTAAAATGGGCCAACTTGGGAAGCACAGCCCACAAGGATGGGAGGAGAGGGCAAAGTTCCAGCAATCTTATAACCCCATTGTCTCTCTATGTCATGTAACCTCTGTTCCTATGTTACTACTTACCTAACAGAGCTGTAAGAATCAAAGGAGATAAATGTTTTGTAAACCTTATAGTGCTCCATAAATGTCAGCTATTAATATTCCTTCTCTCCTAATGACTTTATCCCTTCCTACTCCTTCTGCCCTGAGCATATGTTCTCTCTCCTGTGACCCAGCTTCTGGCTCCTGAAGCTATTGGTCTTGTTGGGGCTCTGTACTGCTGCCTTCTATATCCCAGATGAACATATCTTTCCAGGTAACCTTCAGTCCTCATTCTAACCTTGGCTCATCAGCTGGGGGTGGTGGGAAGGGGAGGGAGGTAGAAGTACATCCAATGACAAATTGAAGTTCAACTATATTTACTTATCGGAGCTCACCCTGCAGCATGGCACTATGTGGGTATCTGTGGAGGCTTCACTTTCATCCTACTACAGCTGGTGCTCATCACAGCCTTTGCTCACACCTGGAACAAAAACTGGTGAGGGGGAATATCCCTGGAGATCATCCTTAGGATGCAGAGATACTACTAAATAGGTCCTAGATACAGATAGCAGTGTGGCAATAGCAGTGGGGGTGGACTGCCACATGATAGGATAGTGCCCCCCATCATTACCTGGGAGGTGGAATGAGGTGGGACTCACTTGGGCAGGTAAATACCTAGGAGAATCTCGACTAGTCAGTCATACTGACCCTGATAAATGGGAGATGGGAATAGCCCCAGCCATATGGGGACAGCCAAACTGGGCTATTCGTGGTTCTCACACTCACACAGGCTAACAGGGGCTGCCCAGGACTGGCGCTGGTTTGGGGCAGTGCTGCTGTCCACACTGGTTTTCTACAGCATAGCTGGAACAGGAACATTTCTTCTATTCCACCACTATACCCATCCTGCTGGCTGCCTGCTCAACAAGGTTCTACTCGGCCTGAACCTTTGCTTCTGTGGCATCCTCTCCTTCCTCTCCATCACTCCCTGCATCCGCCTCAGTGGGTACACCTCTGGATCTAACCCCCCTCCGTGACATTAAGGGGACATTTGCCTTAACAAACCTGCCAAGTTCTGGTCCCCTATTCATTCTTATTTTCTAATCTGGTCTTTTTTTTTTTTTGGGGGGGGGGGGGGGGGCTGTGAAGGAGCTATTTTGGTGAATTTGTCCTGCCTTCATGATCTCTGGGACAAGTAACAGACGTTTCCCTGGGGAGGGGATATTATTGCCCCTAAAAGATCAGACTTTGGTGTCTCTTCTCAGAACAACCCTGCTCTGGCCCCCTACAAGCCTCCATCATTAGCTGCTATATCATGTACTTGACTTTCTCAGCATTGTCCAGCAGGCCCCCAGATAGGGGTAAGTAGAAAACTCATGGCTCTTTGTATCATTTTTCCATTCATTTTCTGCTTAATTCTTATACTTCCCTACTTCCTGTCCTATTTTCCTTCTCTTTACTCTCTATTTCATCCCCACAGTGCTACTTCGGGGACAGAATCGTACCATATGCCGGCCCAGTATGAGCAAAGCAGGGGCACAGACACCGGACACCTCTCTGACCATTCTGAGTGCTGGAATCATGTATGCCTGTGTGCTTTTTGCCTGGTGAGTAAAGGTGTCAAAAGGGAAAAACTTCAAGAAGTAAAAGGGGGAAAGAGAGCAAGAGGAAACGGGAAACAGAAGAATGAATGGAGACTGAAATCAGAGGTCTAGAGAGTAAGAAACATCCTAAGACCAACGGCAACTTCTGGGAAAAAGATGCTGTGAGCCAGAATATCTTTGTGCCGCCAAGTCAACATCCGAGCACTTATTTAAGGCCCACAATTAATCAGCTAGGAGGTGGAATGAGGTGGGATTCACTGTCCCTAGCTTAAAGCCCAGAGTGAACTGCCACACCAGACTGGAGTTGAAGAATACCTAGACACCAGATAGGTACCTGGCACCCTCAGAATTTAAAGCCATGTATCTATCCCTCAGTTATCATCCCCTCCACAATACAAGTGAATCGACTAGAGTTAACCCTCTTCCCTCCCACAGTAATGAGGCTTCATACCTGGCTGAAGTGCTTGGCCCTTTGTGGATGGTTAAGGTTTACAGCTACGAGTTTCAGGTGAGGATGAAAATCTCAATACCCTTCCGTGCCTGTTAATTCTGTGCCCAGAATTCTTACCTGGGATCACCCAACACACATCCCTGCTCTTGCGGACTACCACCACAACTCAGTTCCTCTTCCTCCATCATCCCGTTTTTAAAAATTTCCCTTTACTTTGTAGAAGCCCTCCCTTTGCTTCTGCTGCCCAGACAATCTATCACCACATGGAGGTGAGTGTGAACTAGGGGGAAAACACACAAGCATAGTGCAGCAGGGAGCTCTGGAGGGCGAGGGAGCTTGTACCCAGGAGCTAAACCCTCCCCTCTTCTCTTTAAAGGGTCTAGTGGAGAGGAGGCAGGCTCAGGTGCACCACAAACACCTCATCGACTCTCCTACAGCTACTCTGCTTTCCACTTTGTCTTCTTCCTTGCTTCCCTCTATGTTATGGTCACTCTCACTAACTGGTTCAGGTAGGGCAAATCCTGTATTAAAACAACCTTGACCCCTGACTTCCTAAGAAATGGGAAATCATTGAGGGCCTTGGGATGTGACTCAAGTTTGTCAGTAGGCCTAGGGTGATGGAAAGATACCTATTTAAGAGCCAAGGATCTACTCCTTCTGAGCAGAGATCTTGGCCCTACAGCTACGAAGAGGCAGAGCTGGAAACTACTTTCACAAGAGGTAGCTGGGCTACCTTTTGGGTCAAGATCGCTTCATGCTGGACCTGTGTACTACTCTACTTGGGACTGCTACTGATTCCAGTTTGCTGTCCAGCCACTGGACCATCTCGAACCCCTCGTGTCATCCGTCGGCGCTGCCGAAGAATCCATGTCTCTTCCTAACTGGAGCCTCTCAGCTGTTCTGCCCCTAATAATGCTGGGCTAAGAAGAAAGGACACAGCCTATTACAAAAACTTTTTTTTTTTAAGCTCTATCCTTTGGAGCTAAGGGCAGAATAGTGAACACTGTAGTTATGCTGTTTTGGGATATGATGGTCAGGTCCCTGGCCACAACTCTGTCCAGGGAGGGAGGTCTCCAATTCTCTAGGCCAGCAGCTCTTGGCAAAGAACTGACTCCCCAGCCAGCAGCCAAACACCTGCTATCCACCCCCACCTCACACTTCTCAGATCTCAGCCCTCGAGCTAGAAGGGAGGAAACTGGTCAATAATACCACGAGAAGGGGGAGTAGTGGGGGGGAGTGAAACAGAGAAAAGAAACTGAGAGACCAAAGAGAAACAGAGAAAGAGAAAAACACAGAAACTGAGAGACTGTTCTTTGGAAAAAGGAAAAGTAAAATTGGTTCAGGAACTAGTGATGTAATCAAGGATTATAAAAGCAAGATAGTCCCTCAAGAAAGCCCTAGGGCTAACACATAGGGGTCTTTGCTAAATTTCAGTTGTGATCTCGGGGGTGAAAGGATTATCCTTGAAGAATGACTGCCACTGGAGGACAAACATACCAGACAAATGAGCAAATTAATTTTCTACTGACCAGGCAGCCTGAGGAAGAAGGCAGGCAAAAGCAACACTCAGGAAACTACCATTAGATAATTAACCTGACCCTCTCTTGCCTTGAGTTGGTCTTCAGAAGCCGATTTAGAAGGGAAAAAGTCAAAAGTACAAGGAAGACAAAGGAAAAAGGAAATTATCTGAGGCTTACAGGTTCTCAGGATTCCTCCACACACATTTTCTCAATGTGGTTAATAAAGAATAAAGGTACTTTCCATAATCTTTTTCTTCCCATCATTTTATCAAGCTTCAAACCAGCTCCTCTATATGTCTCTCCTCCAGTCTGAGGAGGCATCCCACCCTACCAACCCCACCCCCATAATCCATTCCCTTAGTCACACAGGCATCAGAGGAATTACAAAGCTACTTTTAATACTCTGGGGTAAGCCCCATAGGAATAAAAAACACTGGGAAAAGGTAGCCCCTCACCCCCAGGAAAGCCCTGGAGGAGAGCAAGGCTGCCTGGGGGGAAGGATGCACAGAGGGAACCCACTGCAGACACAGGGCGAAGGGAATGCCATCAGTTCTGGGACCTGTGAGCGCTACAGGAGGAGGCGAGAGCGTGACGGGACTGGCTCCAGGCACACGGTCGATGGGCAAGAGAGATGGGCATGAGCCATAGAGTTACTTGGGCTCTTCCTTCTTCTCATTGGCCTTTTTCTGCTTCTGTTGCATGATCTCCGAGTCCCTGGAGGTAGAGATGATGGGGCACTGGGGGTACCAGAGGGCAAAAAAGGACAGAACTCAGGGGATAAAGGGCAGAGAGAATAAAATGGATGTGGGCAGGGGTGTGTAGATTCAGTGTGTAGATGAAATGCCCACAATCCTGTGAGGCCACAGAGCTGGAGCTCAAAGGATATCTACCTGCTTTTTACATGGTCAAAAAACCTCAACATACAGACCCCTGAGTATGCCTCACCATACTTAGCAACATGGGGAGGGAGAGATAGGGAAGAAACACAGGAGGGGAATATGGGACTCAAACAGCAATACTTGAAGTGTACTAACCAATACTTTAAGTCATACTGACACTGCCTACCCAAGCCTTTCCTAAAGGCTCCTAAGCTGCCAATTTGTAGGGCTGGCTTAGTGTTTCCACTAGGGTGAAAGAAGGGGAAAGATGAGAGATGGGCACTGCCCCTAATGCATCCTCTCACCTCTACCCTCCCTCATCCCATGCCCTTTTAAATCTCTTGGGCACTTCCATCTTCATCTGGTCCTCCACCCTTTCCCCTCCCTGAGGCTACCTCTGCTTTCGGGCAGCTGCAGAGAGCCCGTCATCCCGGCGTTTTCCCTTGCCTGAGTCGCTTTGCTTTTTCATGTTCTTCTGGCGGGCAAGCTCACGCTGGTTACCGCCTGCAGAAAAAGTAAAGAAAAAGGATGAGACCTCCCCGACACTTAACAGAAGACCCTCCCTCAAGTCGCGGGATTGAGAAAGCAGACACTTCTGCAAACACTGACCACGGAAAACTGAGAAGTGGGGGGAAGAGGAGGTGAAGGCAACTGAAGGTGTGGAGAGAAATAGGGATTGCACAAGGCACAGTGAGGGCTGGGGGAAGGGGGGGTCCCTATGCACACGTGTACAGGGGGACGTCCACTTGAGGGCTCGCTGTGAGCAGATGGGGGAGGGGAGATCTCTGCGTGGCAGTGGGAGGGGGCTCAGCTCCTCCGGCTGGGTTCCCAGGGCTGCTGTTCTGGGCACCGAGGTTGCAAGGGAGGAGGGAGGGGGTCTCAACGGGAGCTGGGGGAGGGGAGGTCTCCGCATGCTGGGGGAGGGGGTAGCGCTGCGTGGAGACCGCCACTGGCGAGTGGTTTCGGAGCAGGGCCTAGACGTGGGTTCCCCGGGAAGGCCTCGCACTCCAGGAGGCGCTAGGGGCTCGTGCAGGGAGGGGGCGTCGGTGCTCACGGGTCATGGCGACGGCAGCGGCTCCGGCCTGACTCGGTGGCGTCCGCTCTTTCCTCTCCGACGTCCCCGACCCCGCCCCTTCCCCACCACGTGACGTGTTCTCCCAATTCCCCACCGACCCAAACCACCCCCACGCCTTGCCCTCCAACTAGGCTTCTTATTAGTGGAGATTGATCACGTGGTGTCACGGGCGCCCCCGCGGATTCCTTCACCTAGGGGCGGAGAATCATTGACGAAGGGCACAGCGTAAGGAGGGGCTTCCCGATCCAGGGCGTGGGCGGGGCCTAAGGAAAATAGGCTGCGTCACGTGGCTGGGGTGGCGACAAGGCGCTCCCGGAAGGGCGGCCCCTCCCTGGTTCCTTGGCCGGGAAGCTGACACGTGACCGGGTGGAGTGGCACCGGTGCCTGGGTGGGAAGGGTGGGTCCCCAACTCTTATCGTTGTGGTTTCAGTTGTGCCCATCGCCACTCCCTGAAGTGGATGAAGTTTTCCATGGAAGGCACAGATGCCTCCTTGACCTCCAAGAGTAGTTGTTTTGGAGGAGCCTAGGCCCCAATTGTCGACCTAGGTCGGTCTCTTGGGAATGTGCTGAGAGCATTGAGATTATTTCTCTCACTAGGCACTTCCTATGGTGTAGCTGCTAAGGAAGGACGGTGAATGAGGCCCGAATGCCGTAGTCATCACCTGTAAAATCAAAGGAAAGTGTACTCCATGACCTTTTAGCATAATGCAATTCAATAAACATTAATTGCCCACTATGTACCAGGCATTGTGCTAAGTGCTGGGGATTAAAAAAAAAAAAAGGCAAAAGACAGTCCTTGTCCTTAAGGAGCTTGTGTCCTGATGGAGACAATGTGCAAACAAATATATACAAAGTAAGTTATACACAGGATAAATAGGGAATAAAAGAGAGAAAGAATAGGGAATTAAGAGGGCTTAGGAAAGGCTTCAGGTAGAAGGTGGAGTTTTATTTTAAATCAGATGGTTCTGTACTCTTTCTCAGGGTTCTTGGGGATCCAAAATGCTAAAGGTTTATTCTCTAAATAGTCATAAAGGCTCAAACTGAGAAGTCTTACAAGGGAGATACTTGAGTAATAACATTATGAAGGAGGAAAAAATGACTTGCTTACTTGTGATTTCAAAGATTCAGACTCATCCCAGCAGAACTAAAGTCAATTCTAGGCTCTGGGAATCCAAGCTGACTTCCCCTAATTTTAGTCTTGCTTCTTCAATTATAAATCTAAAACCATGTTCTTCCTTACCCTTTTGTCATTCCATTCCTTTCTCCACATACAAAGCACCAGTTGAGATTCTGACTTTGAGGGAAAAAGGGTCTGAACTTAACTTTCCTTTCTACCTACTACAATTAGAATGCTTGAAGGTGCTGGAATATGGGTGGAATGGCCTCTGCCCCTTCTGCCCTTTCTTCATGTTAAAGACATTCACCCCATACTTGGATCCTGTGCCTAAGATCACAGCATCAGCATCTAGAAAGCTGGAATAGTTGAACTGTGCCAGGTTCTTGAGCTGACTTTAGAGAATGGAATGAGAGAGGTGAGTTATGGAAGAACCTAGAATGTGGGTTAGATAGACTGTCTTGAAGCAGAAGAAGCTAGAGGGTAATTTTGTGGCTGAGTTCATGTGCAGCATTAGTGGCCACGGCTTGATTTTGGAACCGTCACACCATTTTGTTGGGACAGACTTGTCAAAGAGTCCAGAAAGCCTCTTTATGCTGATTAGAAATCAGTACATGAATTCACAGAATTTATTTGTAAAATAACTGAAGAAAATTAAAGCCTGTTTACATAAATTAGTAACTGGCTTAATTTCTTTGATGATATGGTAAATCTTGGCTGCTTTGTTTATCAAACTGGCAGACAAAATAATTTTTGTTTGCCAAAGTAGCAGAAGTAGTAGGGAGTAGGGAAGGAATTTGAACCTTGGACCTCCAACTACAAATCTGCTATTTGTTCCATTACACTAGAACCATAGAGCTTGGAAATTTGTAGGGTGAGCATCAATGAAGTTTTGTATCATAGCAGCTAGGTGGCGCAGTGAATAAAGCACTGGCCCTGGAGTCACAAGATTTGACATTTACTAGTTGTGTGATCCTGGGCCAGTCACTGTTTGCCTTAGTTTCCTCATATGTAAAATGAGCTAGAGAAGGAAATGGCAAACCACTCCAGTATCTTTACCAGGAAAGACCCAAATGGTGTCATGATGAGTTGGTCACGGACTAAACAACACAACAATCCTATATGCAATTTGTTACAATCTAACCAAGGCTCAGTATGTTATTTTGTTCCATCTGAAACCCCTGTCCCTCCCACTTTTTCTTTTCTTTTTTTTTTTTTAAGTCCAGGTTTTTTTATGTTTCTCTTTCATCAGCTTCACCAATAGGCCCTATACTTGCCCTTCAGAGCGGGCTTT